CTTATTCGAACTAATCTTTTCCAATGGTGGACGAGATTTCAACGTCACGCGAGGAGGATATTTGGACGAGTTGCTATTCGCTGCTAATCAACGTGTCTTAGCTGATAGCACATTTCATCTGAATTGTCGTGGCTTCCGCCCGACTTATTAAAGGGTCACGCCTGGTAGGGCGCGCGGGAGTCCCGGCGCGCACAGCGTATCGGCGCCTGCGCGTCGACTATACTCGACGCGTGCTCTGGCCTAAAACCACCTGGCAGTGTGTCTACAATCGTCGTCGTATCCGGCCGCCACTGCCCGTCGTGCCGCCACTGCCCGTCGCCGAGAGGTACGGAGCCACGTCGTCCCCCATGAGACTTAACGTACTAGGTTCGAGCCTCCTGAGACGTAGGTTTACTGGTTATTATCGTAGTTTTCAATATCTGACGTATTTGATATTTTCTTTTATGCATTTATATGTAGGATAAGCTTCCTTTTTTACCATTTCCCTCCTTTGCCGTATTATTGTTCCTTTTATGGCGTGCCCATGAAATACTGCGTAGAATATTGTGTTGGTAGTTTGACATCATAGACGGTTACGCCGTGAAGGTAATATCTGGTTTGATTGTTGAAGTCGGGCTGTGCGTAGGCTATCCCGTGTTGTAGGACGTAATATGCGTAGGGCGAAAGTTGGAGTGTAGGACCAGCGTAGGGGTTGCAATAGCCAAAGTAACATCCCGCGTGGCAAATGGGGCGAGGGCGAGCGCCGCGTAAGACCCCGATCAGGCACATACGAACTAATTCGTTTCACGTCAGCCGGCGCGCCGGCTCGCCGGCCGGCGGGCTATGAAAGCAGCCAGTGACGGTTTGGGGACTTCGCTTTTTTTTGAGTTTCGAGTTTTCGGCAATTTTCTAGGTAGGCAATTTTGGAGAGATGATTTCAGTTTCGAATTGTATTGTACTACACACCGCTGCTGCTTACTTGCTGATTCCGTATCCATTCGGTTCTGTTTACCTAATCTCACAGCAATGACGAACAACGACGGCCAGAAGCGATTTCTACTTTCAAACCCTTTTCTCTTTTTTGTAATCCACACTTCCCTGGAATAGTAACTATGTACATATGTGTACACAGAGCTGAACCACTCATCTGGGCGTCCACAGTATCGCGTACGGGAGGGACCAAAATTAGGTACTAAGGGTCATGGTCACTTACTATTACTGGCTTCCTAATTGATCACAAACAGATCTCACTTTAGAAGGGGCAAGCATTCTTTTTTCAGCGTTCCCAAGGGCCAATTGCTCACCCGCTCTAAAGGCTGGCAGCTCCACAAACTTGTCAGGCAAGATACGCATTTGAATGCCACTATAAATTTCGAAGGAAATTCAACAATAAAGGGTTCTCTAGAGGTAATACTCCTTTACTTGACCCTGCTATTCATTTTTAGACCATTTTTTATTTTACCCATTAATATTACAATGTGAAACTGCTCTTCGCTTTTTTGTACCGTTACCTCGATGCTTTCAAATTCGTGGCAGGCTTTTGCAGATGCAGGTTTGAATAATGCGCGCCAACCGAACAATTAAAAAAAAGATCAAATTTTTGGTGTTTTTGGTGTCGATCACATAGATGGGCGTCTGAGCTTCCAACTCCACTTCGGAAAAGTAGTGGCATTTTATGTATGTAAAGCCTATTTGTTCTGGCTCGAGTCCGTCAAAGACGTCATTCCTGTCTGCTTACATAAATCAATTAAACCAATTTGACCCTTTATTCCGGTATTTTCAAATATTACAACGTGACTTTAATGTAAAGATATGGATACAGTCGATATACACAGCGGTTTCGGATGTGACTGGATAATCGACCAATCACAGAGACGCATGTATTAGGCTGTTTCTGTGAGTGGTCGATTACCTGGAAGCACAAATCACAGCAGAAAAGCATGGCTACAGTCCTTCAGCTATCCTTTTGATGGAGAATTTAACAGAACCTCGCTGCCGAGGCAACTCTTCCAATTCTAGCGGAATATTCTGCAATTTCGTGTGCAGAAAATCTCATACCGTCACTCAAATAGTATTCGAAATATGTTTTTAACAATTCTCCGCAACCACGATCAAGTTTAATTGCAATATCGTGAAGCTTTTGAAGAGTATCATATAATGCTACAACTGCCAATTCCAATTCGAAGGGATCTGCTCGTTTTTGTTGATATGGGATATTGGGATTAAAATCTCTAGCTAAAGCAAAACTTGTGTCTTTTAGAGCTAGAAAAATTGGTTTGATGTCCTCAAATGTGAGCGGATTACAACGAGTTATGGTCATACGAATTACATGTATGAAAAGGGTAAAAGAATCGTTTCTCTGGAGCCCGTAGGGTAAGGAATTATTGGCTACAATTAGTATGGTTTCGATGGTCTTCAGTGACTTTCTTAGCTCAACGTCTAAATCGTCTCGTGGTTGTGGACAAACCAAGCACGCCGAATGGTTTGTCCCGGCGCTCACTTTAGTGTGAATAGACATTTGATAGCCTGTACCATTTCCATGTTCTGAAACACTGCATTTCCTCTGTTATCGTGTGAAAACATAGGGATATTCACAAAAATACGACCAAAGATAACATTATCGACAAATTTTAGACATTGTGAAGCCTCGCACCACTAGGACAAGTCGCGGATTTTCGCGCGCGATGAGCGACCTGTTCGCGCGGCGGAGTGTTTATGAACAAGAATAGCCTCCAGCTATTCAAGATTTGATGTTTATAGCGCGCGAAAAAGAACTGTGTCTTGAACTATCATAATAGAATTAATGTAGGTATTACCGACAACTGATACTTACCATTGAAATTTAGAAAATCACCTATAGTTTTGCGACTTTCCTCTGAAACACTGTGTAAAGCCTTTTCAAATCTGAAATTGAAGGTGTTTGAAAGATCACTCATTTTTCCATATTTCTACATCAAACAAATAAATAACAAATAAATAGGTAAATAAATATTATTCTACATACATTAAGGCGGGATTATCGTAGCCAGTGATATTTTGTTTCAAATTTTTGAAGATTTCTATCATCTGCAATGCGTAAAGGATTACTTGTTTATCACCTTCCAGAGAAAATAGTGAGTAAATACTACCTACCTTGCTGAAAAATAAATATTTAGCCCTCAAATCTGTTTCCATCGCTGTAATATTTTTGTAAAGCTTCTCCATACCTCGGCATAGTATAGGGTTGGTCTTGCTCAGCTCGGCCAGTTCTTCACCAAAGTTTGTTGGAAGCGGAAAAGTCACTTTGTTGTGGTCGATGTTGTTTTGGGAATCCTTGAGTGGTCATAATTAAGTGTTTATCATAAATTATTTGTCTGTAGGAACTAGTAAACCTTTTCTATCACGTTTGTTTACAGTAAATAAGTTGAAACAGAATGTAGTATTTAACTAACACTGTTGTTTCGAAAAGTGAATCTTTATTCATACCTCATTGTTCATTCCGTTCGAGTCTTCAGCAGTACCAGGCAGTAGTGTGCCATCATTGGAAAAATACGGGCGGTCCTGGTCTTCATAGTCAGCTGAAAAATAACGATTAAACGATCATATTGATTGCACAGCTTAGGTAAAGCTTACCTGAAATTCCTGCAATCATTCCAAACAGCAATAGGCTCAAAGGAAATACCATTCTGAAAGTGGAAATACCCTGGGGGAGTGTTCCTTAACAAGGCTGACTTGTGGTACAGGAATTGGAGACCTATCGAGAATGTGTTTTTTGATAATTCGTGATATTCTGTGGTGATGATATTGATGGCTTTCTCATTCCAGGAACTACAGAACTGCAAAAAAATATAGCATTGGTGGTACAGAGGCAAGGTGTGCTGCATCCCATTAAGGCACCTCTGTTTGTCTATTGGACAGCGACTGAACCAGGACGCTCCACGATTTGATATTCTAAGAGAAAAATAAAGGTATTATTTTGGAAATATTCCACAGGAAAAACAGGAGAATGAAAGATTTACGGGCCATTCGAAAAAGCAAAAACAGAAGAAGTGAATGTCGATAGATGTATTCTTCACTAATGTAATGATACAGTAAGTCAAAAAAAAACATAACACATTACATCGTAGATATCAGTCGGAGATATGGCATTAGTCAGAAACATTCCGATTATCTAAAACATTTTTTTTCTTGTAAAAACTCTCTGAGTCTTCGCTCTGGGGTAGATTTTGAATATAAGAGGGTTGCCTTTTATATTTTGAGATTGGGCACCCTTATATTGAATCTTGCTACTGACAGCTCTATCGTAAAGCTTGACTTTTTTGGGGTTGTACGTACCCACAAAAACCTAAGTATTAGGTTGATGCATAATTATTGCGGATTTTTTCGCAGCTTTTTTTTCTTCCGATGGAATTTGAATATTGAGTTCGGGTTTTTCTAGAAATAATCTACTTGATTTCCTCTACAAAAATGTACCTAGAAAACACCCGCATATTCGTGCAATCATGCTCTACCTTTTCGAGAAATGTTGGAACGTGGCAGAGTCATTCCGCGATCTCAGTAGCTTTTCGGCGATCGAACAATCAGCCAGAGCCAACCAAGAAAAGAGATCTGCTCCTAAATCTGCCCTATTCACCAGCAGAAACTGCTATGGATTACTTGCCAACCGTTCGCTGAAGAAATGGCTAGGGAATAGAGCTTCCGTCGATTTGGATGACTTGATGGCCGATGTCAAGGCGTGGATCGCCCCCAAGGATCAAAACTTCTCCGCTTTTGGAATCCGACTGTCTAGCCAATAGGAAGCAGTGCTTGACGAAAATGGTGGGTAAGTTCCGAAGTAATTATTTGAACATGTTTTTGTTCAGTATTTTTGTCGTATCATTAAATGAAACTTGTTTAGGAAAAAGTTACTGGGATCGCGGAATGAGTGTGCCACCTTCCAACATTTCTCGAAAAAGTAGAGCATAATTGCGCTAATATGCGGACGGTTTTCTAGGCATATTTTTGTAGAGGAAGTCAAGTAGATCATTTCTAGAAAAAACTCGAACTCAATATTCAAATTCTATCGGGAGAAAAAAGGCCGCGAAAAAATCCGCAATAGTTATGCATCAACCTAATAAAAGACTTATTTACGCGAAAAAATGGAATTAAATCTGGAACTTGTTCGTGCTATTATTTTTTGCAATTTTCAATGTGGATTAACTCAACAACAGTGCATGGATGAACTCACCATTAAATGAACTTTTTGGCGATAAAGGACCTGTGTTTATCGATGGTATGGTGAATTCATTCGAGGTCGTAGTTCACCCCAAGACGACTTTCGTGGAAGTCGTCCAAAATCAGTTGCTGCTCCGGAAGCCTGTCAAGTGACTCGTCGTGTGACCTATTGTGAGATTGGGACGACCTTAGGCATTAGAGGGACCAGCATACATTCAATTTTGCACATTTGACTGTCAAAAAAATTTGTTCGAAAAAAAAAAAANNNNAAAAAAAAACTCTTCACTACGACAATGCGAGCTTTCTCACATCGGCTCAATCGACTGCATTTTTGAACACTCAAAACATAGTTTTGATGAGTGATCCGCCATATAACCCTGGCTTTGGCACCGAATGACTTCTTTTTATTCCCGTACGTTAAAGTAAAGTGAGAGAACAACGTTTTCCGCCACCTGAAGAAGCGATTGATGCGTTCAGAATGCATGTTTCGGAGATACCTCAATCAGAACGGCAAAAGTGCTTCGACAATTGGTTCAAACGCATGCAAAAGTGTACAGATCCTAATAGGGAATATTTTGAAAAACAGTAAAGCAATTTTCAATGAATAATATTTATTTTTGTTCTGTGATCCCGGAACATAAAAGGCAACTTGCGTAGTGGAAATATAGCAATAAGCTATCAGAAAAATCTTTTTTTTCAAATTTTCAAAAATTCCATTGAATTTTTCATCTTTCCTTGCTGACAGTTTGCTTTTGTTGCTACCGAAGAACTTGGCTACTCTTGACGTCTCCCACGTTGCTGTAGTGGTTACTAACAAAATGCTCGTGAGTAAGGATGATCGACCTCGATCTATCATATTTTAAGCCAGAAAGATTGATTACATTTGTTTATACCTTGAATATTTTTGATCTAATCAGTCTATTTTTCCTTCTTTAACACTATTTCTGCTTTCTTGGTAGCTCACACAGGACCATTGCCTTAGAGTTTTTGCTTTTGTGTGGTAGAGCACATCCTTAAGTATTTGGATGAGTAAACAAGTAGATTAACAAACAAATATCCATATACATATAGCATGTATTTGCTCACGTGTATTGCCAAAACTATCAAATCGCTGGTCTGCAATTTCCCATATTGGCATTTTCCGATTGTCCCTTTAACTTGTGTAGCATCAGTTCAGGGATGTCTGAGGACGAAAGTACTTGGTGTGTGCAGGAATTGAGCTTGTCGAGTTGCTTTTGCTGCAAATCAACGTGCCTCAACTGATAGCACATTTCAGCTGAATGTTCACAATAAAAGTGCTTCACTCTAGATAATGTCAGCATCAATAACGCTGCCAAACTCGTCTTTTCTTGAAGGCAATGAGTGTCAAGGGGTGTCGGTTGGGGTTTTGAATCTACGTAACCATGTTGATCGTGAACTATGCTTTTGGATACTTCTACAGCAGTACATTCAAACAATGACCCAGTGGCTCCCTTCATACTCCGCCGGCTGGCCTAAAACGAATTACTTTGTATGTAAGAAAATTGCTCAGAAACCGCAACTAGCTGCTCATCATCGGACCCATTGCGGACGGCAATGTTGGTGGAGTTGGATTTCTGATCAATTCGGCAATCGCGTACTTAGTAGACTCGCATAACATCGTCAGTCCGCGTCTTGCTGTCCTCCATCTGCGCACAAAAGACCGGGTTGCAATTTCTACCATCAGCACCATCATGCACCTACCGCCGCGGCAGCTGAGGAAGAGCGAGAGGAGTTTTATAGATTTTAGGAGAAGACGGTTCGAGAAGAGAAGAGCTATTATTAATATGTGTAGGCGACTCCAACGCTGTCGTGGGCACGAACCGCACTGGAGCTTGGAGGCTTGAACCTCATGGCTTTGACGACAGACCAAGTGTGTGCGTGCCGCCTTTTCCATGTAAATTCTATGTTCGAATAGCCAGCTAAGCGACGATGGACTTGGGAAAGTCCAAACGGTCGAACATACGGAAATAGATCATAATCTCACTAAACGACGCTGGAGTCAATTTGACGTATCCGTGTTCCCCTCTTTCGGTACCGGCTTGGATCATCGCCTAGTGCGCGCAAAAATACGACTCAACGAGCGAATATTCAAGCGCGACACGCATAGGTCGCACACTTTAGGACTCCCTCCTTTGATGCAGAGCTACTCGAATCTGCCATTGGAGCTTACGGTTGGCGTCTTTTAGAGAATCCCCCAGAAAATTACGAATACCTAACAAGAGGTTTGCTTAAGTGTGCAGACATTTCCCGTCGTTCGTAGCCAGCCCGAATTCCGAGGTTGAATGCTCCTGCCATCTCACTCTTGGAGAAAAGGAGATCACTCAAACAGGATCCTAACACTGAACCTGGAAAAGGTAATCGTGAAAAAAGCCTGCAGCATGGCTGTCAAGGAATCTCTACGGGAGTACAGGAGAACCAAGCTACTCAAGAGTATCGCGCGATTCACGCGTGACCCCATTAGAGCTCTTCGCGCACGCAGCATCGTTCCAGTGCCTTTCTGTTGAGATGGACCGAATAAATTTGCAGTAGTCATCACGGCTTCATCATGAATGAAGCAAATCTCTTTACTATGACAAAAAAAGCCCCTTCGAAATTGAGAATCTATCTCATAGGTCAACGTCTTGTCAAAGTTCAAAATAAGAATAACTTCAAATTCTTCGGTCCTAGAAGATGCAATCCTTCTGTAAACGTGCATAGTTGGTCATTTCTTCACTTATTCTACTTATAAGTCCTTATTTCTTCCGGTATGATGGTAGGCATAATGTTTTAGCGCGTTTTGTCCGATGACCTCATTATATCGACGCGTGAATCGCACCACACCCGCGTGCGAGCAGCTATGTGACGGCGACCCTATCCGAGCGTGTGACAGCAGCGGGTACCGATCGTTACCGCAAATCGAGGATGGCTGCTGTCACACGCTTGGATAGGACTGCCGTCGTATAGCCGCTCGCACGCCGCTTTCTAAATGTACGGGCGTCTCCAACTGCGTGCCGGCGAGCACGCCGAAGAATGAAAGCAGTCAGTGACGGTTCGGAAACTTTTTTT